GCCTGTTGAATTTTATAAACTATTCTAAGACCTCAGACTTTGTTGATGTGAGACTTATATTGGCCCTTATTATTTTTGAAACACTGATGTTTGTACCTGTGACTCTATTACACCTGACTTTTTTATGAAACACCCATGGATAAACATTGTGTTTTCGTGGCTCTGATCTCTTCAATCCTCAATTTTTACCTCTAGCATAGTATGCATCTCTCACTACACTTCAAACTTTGTAGTAAACACAAATAACCAATAGACCACCCCAAACTTTTTGTAGTAAAAGTTAGTACTTACACTTGATCAGGAAGTGACTCAAACACCACTCCAGACTTTCTGTAGGTGAGACCAACTTATGTGAACATTGTTCTGTCCTTTTTGTATGAAATGCAATATGTCTACTCCCAAATACTTTGTAGGAAATGCCTTTAGCAAGTCGACAGTTAGACACTAGCACCTTTTCTTGTAAACGGTGCATGGCAATAGGTAAGTTCTGAGTTGATCATGCATTTATACCTATTGCAGTCATGCTTGGCACTTCTGCTTGTAAAAGGAGTTTCCAGACAAAAAGTTAAAATTAGGGGAAAATCCTAAGTCAAATACAGGAGGCTGTATAGATGGCACATTTGCGGGGCTTTAAACTTTTGGCTTGGAAAAAGGAATCGATGGGAAAAAAAAGTATATGAGGGTGAAAAAGCTGTCAGTCTTACACCAGGTTAGTCTTGATCCTCCTTAATGGCGTGCTTGCTCATACAGCTCTGATCAGTATGGTTGCAAATGCGAAAGAGCTCTTTGAGGGGTTCCAGCAATATCCAGCTCTATGCAGTGAATTTATGGTGCAAAAATGTTGAAGCTGTTGTAAATTTTAGCATCCATTTCCACTTGCATGTTTATAAATACATGTGAGGTTTGCATCAAAAAGTTAGTTGACATTCCTCTATTGTGTGGTACTATGTTATATGTTTTCTGCAAGATTGTTTCAATATACCACCCTTTTCTCAGTAAATGACATTCCCACAAGTTTCATGTTCATGGTTATTACCTTCAGGATTCATCTCTGCATTTTAATATGTTTCGATTCTTTTCTCTTTATTTGTCTTTCCAGTGGAGCTGAGATTGACAGATTTCTCAGAATGTTAAGAGAACCTTCTTCTATGCTAAAGTCCTGTACTGCATTTGCTCTTTTGCAGGCAAGCTCATGTTCTCTCACTTCTATCTATTAAAAATGTTTATATTTGTTTAGTTTTCATTTTGAAATTCAATTAACCACAATGCTACGACACCTTAAGAATTTTTGTCTTGCAGTTTACCATGCCTGGAGGACGGCATGCAATGCACCATTCAGGCCTCCTTCAAAATGCAGGTGCACCAAGGATCTTACGTGCTGTTGCTGCTGCATCAACAGCCCCTATTCAAGCCAAAATTTATGCAAAAATTGTGCTTCGGAACCTTGAGTACCACCATGAATTCTCAAGTTAGTTGTGAGGACAGTTTCTTCTGAACTCCCCACTCGGAGATTGTCGTCCCCAAAAAAGCACAATCTTCTTCAGAGTTGAACCAGGAGGCTGGAACAGGCTACCTCATCCCCCTTCCCTTAACGACAACCCATTTTTTTCACTTGTATTAGTCTCCAAGGCTCAAAACTAGGCACCAACTCATACCTCCTCGATTACTTGTGATAAGAAAATGAAAACAAGGCCTGCATGTTCATGGAGATCATTAAACTGATATGTTAAATGAGGTCTAGCAGAATAGGAAAGATTTTTTTTTCTTTTCCCTTTAACAAACCACCACTTTTTTTATTTCTTCTGAAAAAAGGACACGCTCTGTGTCAACTTTTACAACTCAATGTGTTTTGTATCTCAAAGTTAATTGACATACCAAAACCAGAGTTTGCTGAGATTGGAAACGTGCAAGGCTAGACTGGCTACTTGTTCCCAATTTCCAGGTTGCTTTTCCAGCCTGTGTTTTTGCGTGCAAGCCTTCTTCAGAGCATGCTTTGGTTAGCATACGTGCTCCTGATGTAACTGTACCCTTCTTTCGTTCTTTTAGTGGATACACCCACGAAAGACGTACCAGCATCTAAGATAATGAATATAACTAGTAAAGGCAACTGTCAGGCTATGTTTGCCATCTTTCAGGGTTAATCATCTGCATTGTTTTCGTTTGGGATTCATCTTGGATTCCTTGATTTCAGATTGCATACCCTTGATTGTCACTATGGCATGGCTTTTTCTGAAAGTTGTTGAAGGAAAAAGGATCTCACATCTAATACCGAATGATTTGATCGTGGCTTACAAGTAATAATTTACTCTTATTTATCAAAATATCTTTCCTTAAAAGATAAAATTATGAAAAAAGATATCTCAAGGTCTTAAAGCGGATAATATATTATAATGGATGCAATCTAATAATCTTTGTAACAACTTTCTGAAAAATGCTGATGAAAAACACCAATATCTACATAGTGGTCTATTCACTTTGCTTGCAATCCCAGCACAAGGCTAGTGAAGTGGAGCATCAGACCATTAGATGAGGACCAACTTTGCTATGGTCAAAAAGATTCTTCTTGCTGATTGTTTTAGATTACAGATTTCTTCACTTGTTTGCTGAAAGGAAATATGCACAATGTGGAAGAGGGGGGGGGGGGGGGGGGGGACTTGCCTCCAAATTCTCTAGTGGGCTTCATTTTTGCTTCTGAAGTCGCTATTCTCCACAAAGGTTAGTGGAGCACCAGTTCATGACCAGCTCTGGGGACAAAAAGGAAATCATTTTCGTGGCAAATACAAGTCAGAACAATAGTGCCAAAAGATTTTTCGACATTCCTATCTAAACTATTACAAAATAATTAATGCATGTGACCCACATCAAATTTGTTTGATATATTTCTATCTGATCGTTTCATGTTACTTCCAATAATGCTGTAGTTTGCAAAATTTTGAAGCAATGTATAACAACATGGATAGATGATTCTTGCAAGATTAGTTTGTATTAAGAAATTGTCGAATTCTAAGATTTATTTATTACAATTAATTTTTATGATATTGTGATGTCCTTAATTATCATTCATTTGCTAAAATTTTTATTTTTTAGATTTAGTAATTTCTAAATACCAGTATTTTGTTTCCAAAAATATAATCATCAGACAATTGTTGCTTTTATTTTAGTGGCTTTCATTACAAAACTAACAAAGATGTTGGTGATAAACTCCATTGAATTAGGAATGGAGGAGTTTCTATCTTATCCATTTATGCCAGAGAACCTTTATAATATATATATATATATATATATATTTATGGTAGGGGCCAAAACAGGGGGACAATGAACTGAGTGTGTAGATAATAACAGAGGCAAAATGACAATAAATTAGGTTAAATAATTGTGCTATCTGATAAATTTTTGCACAAATTTTTTTTTTGTTGTTGTTGAATGTCTTTTTGTTAGGTGTTGTTTGGCAAATAAATACTTCTATGTTGCTCCAAATATCATGTGGATGATAATTTGAATAATTACTCAAAAAAAGAATATTAAATTATGGTATATAGCATAAAGATGATTTTTGGACCTACTTTTTGGTACAACGCAATCAAGCAAATGTCTTCTTATGGTTGTCCTAGTGAAGGGAATTTGTATGGATATGGAAAATTTTAGATGTTTGGCCTTTTTTTTTTTTTCAAAATTTAGTGACTTATTGTAAGAAAAAAAAAAGATAAAAACAACGTTCCCATGGAAGTTCACCAATTTTATATAAAATGAAAAAAAATTAATTAAAAAAATTAATTTCATTCAATATATATTTTTCAATTCAATTTGAATATATTTTTTATTTTAAATATAATAAATTTATCGCAATCTTTCAATATCATTTCAATTAACATTTATGTTGCAAATTGTTTTTTATTTAAAAAAAATTAAATTATTTTCTTTGAATAATAATTATCTGTTAATCATTGAGTTAATTATTTGGATATTATTCTTAATCTTCTTAATTCATCACTATTACAATAATTAATAAAAAAACTATGCTCTAATGCATCAAAATATTGAAACTTTATTGTCCTAATAACTTTATAATTTTTTGTAATAACTTAACATCACATTCATATAGGCCAATTAATCCTAGTCTTTTTTATTTTAATGGAGGAAAATATTTATTTAAAAAATCCTTAAGCTGCTATGTCATTATTTAAAAATATATTTATTTAGCTTAGAGGTCAAATTAACACAAACTCCATCATTTTAAAATTTAGTTAATCACCCCCACAATCATTTATCCCAAGTCAAAAAAATTTATATAGGTAATTTTAGTTTTATTTAATTAAGTAAAAAAAATTATTCATGTACTCATAATTTCAAAATTGTTTAAAATATTTTTTGTCGGTCAAAAGCAGCGAGTAGGCTTTAATTGTTTTCCACGTCACCTCTATCCACAACAAAGAAACACACCCGAAGGCGAGTAACGCTTACGCGCTTAAGATTTCACGTTCTGTTACCTCGACTACCAATTAAAGCAAAATTAGATTTTTTTTTTTTCTTTCAGATTAGTTTTCCGATTTTCATTCGTTAATTTTAAAAAATTTTCTATTTGTTAGGACCTTTTTAAGATCCAAAATGATGTATAAAACCTCAAAAATTATTTAGATTCGATTTATTGAATAAATTGAATTTAAATATTATAATATTTAATTTAAATAATTTATAAATTTAATTAAATTTTTATATTTTAATATATTTTAATTAAAATTATTATTTTATTTATATATTTATTAATTTTAATTCGAATTTGAATTTAAATATAAATAGGTAAATTAAAAATTGAGTATAAAAATTATTTTTTTTGTTTTATAATAAATGTAAATAATTTAATTTTTATTTCGAATTAAATTTAAATTTAAAAATTAAATTTTAAATAATAAATTGCAAATTTAAATTTAAAATTAAAATTAAAATTTTTTTTACATGGTCTCGACTGGATTACACTTAGTTTCCTTCGCTATCGGGTTTTTCCCTTCTCTCCCTTCATTTTCTTATACTTTTCTTTTTTCTTTTATTTCACAGCTCCAACTAACTCTCACACCTGTCATCTGATTTTTCTCAGGCTTTCTCTCTCCCCTTTTAATTTATTCTCGAGAATCTTCGATCATCTCTAACACAATTGTTTCATTTTCTTTCTATACAATTTCAGATTCATGTTTGTCGTTGTTAGTATTACATACTATTAGGTGACGTTGAACGGCACTGAGAATATATATAATTTAAGAAATTAAGAATGCGAAACGGCGTCGCGACGAACGGAGTTTGCTTGTCGGAGTCCGTGAATGGGAGTCGCGATGTTTGGAGTTGTAAAGATTCTGATTCTTTATCAGCTGATCATCTTGTTATCATGGTCCATGGAATCCTCGGCAGGTCCGTTTTCTCTTTCAAATCTTTCTTAAAAGAATTTTGAGATATTTAATTTAATTAAATTATTTCAGTTTTTTTTCAATTGGATTTTGGATGCTTTGATTTAGTTTGGTATGTTATGGTTAATTAGTTATTATTGTGTCATAATTGCACTCATATTTTATGCTTTGTTTAATGATAATCGGTTTAATTTGAAGTAATTAAATTATAATTTGATTCTATGATTAACTCCATAAATACGTGATTTGAGCTGAAAATATGCTAGGTTTGATCATTGCATTGCATCATTTCCAATTCACATGGAAAATTTCAATTCTGTGGTGTTAAATCTTATTAACAATTTTCATGGGATTTATTATTATTATGAATATTATTAAAAATTATCCTGAAAATAGTTTTGGCATTGGTCGTATGCTTGCTTGTGCAGTTCTTCAGATTGGAAGTTTGGAGCTGAGCAATTTGTTAAAAGGCTACCCGATAAAGTATTTGTCCATTGTAAGTAGCAATTGTTTAGGCACCATTAAGGCTTTCCCGTTTTGCTAGCGTTTGGTGCTGCTCTCGTGTGTTTGTTACTTGTTCATATCTTCTTTAGATTCTAGGGGATGATGGAACCATCAATTCATTCATAGTGGTATAAAAAGTCATTAATTTGATTTCTGCGTTGATCAAAAGCCATTCTTTTAAACAAGATTTTTATTTTTTAGTAAGCTATTACGTATTGAAGTTTTTGAGGTTAGCAATGTTGATGTTTAAGTTTCTGACTGGAATATTTCTTGATTTTACTTGGTTGATTAACGTGATCAACAGGCAGTGAACAGAATATGTCTAAGCTGACTTTAGATGGCGTGGATGTAATGGGTGAACGTTTGACAAAGGAGGTTAGCGCATAATTGATAATGACCCTAATTAAGTTGTCATAATCGATGAAATTTATGAGTTTTAATATAAGAGTATCGATTGCATATTCTGATTTGTTATCAACAAATGTATGAATGCTAGGTCCTTGATGTTATTCAACAAAAGCCTAATTTACGCAATATCTCCTTTGTTGCACATTCTGTGGGAGGACTTGTGGCTAGATATGCAATTGGGAGACTCTATAGACCACCTAAGGAAGAAGTTAAAGAGGATATATCTAGTAATGGATGCAAGGAGGAACCAAGGGGTACAATTGGTGGCTTGGAGGCTGTTAACTTCATCACTGTTGCATCTCCTCATCTTGGTTCAAGGGGCAATAAGCAGGTAGCTTCTTTGTATTAACAAATGTTTCTGAATGAAATAGCCAAAACACATTATTTTTCTCTCTTTCTCTCTCTCTCTCTCTCTCTTATGTGGGCATGTTGGACACACACAAAGATCGCTATTCCAAGGAATTATTGTAACATCTCTGACTTTTGTATATTGTGATTACAAAGGGTATTCCCCAACTTAGTTGCTTCTGAAAGGTTGTTATTTTAGTAGATGGGTTTTTGTTTGCTTGAGTAGTTTATTGATTTTAACAAAACATACTTTTGTTTTACCATGACTTACTTTGCTTGTTATGTGGCATATGTATATCTCTCTCATGTATATCAAGGATTTCACCAGTGAATAAAAAAAGGGACTGGACTGGCTGGTCGGCCCGATTGAAACGGTGGCCTGTCCGTTCCAATAACATATATTGAACTGGCGAAAACCTGATTAAACCAGTTTTATATGTATTTTATTGTTTTATTATTCAAAATTTATTTGTAAGTAGTGGGATTTACCTTTAACCTCTCAATTCTATAGTAAAGATCATACCCTTAAGCCAAATGGATTTTTTGTTAACCATTTGCTATATTTAATACTTATTTAATGTTAAAATAAAGTATTTAATATTAAAATCTCTTTTACATTGGGTCGGCTGGTTGAACCGGGAATTGGTGCCCTCATCGGTTCAACCTCCAGTCTGTTTTTTTATTCATTGGATTTTAGCCATTGTTGGATTATCTTTACTTATTGTCATAGTAAAATGTTTGTTTCTAGGTACCATTTCTTTTTGGGGTAACTGCTTTTGAGAAAGCTGCAAGTCGTGTTATTCATTGGATATTTAGGAGAACAGGTCGGCACCTTTTTCTTACTGATGATGATGAAGGGAAGCCTCCACTGCTTAAGCGGATGTTGGAAGACCATGATGAGTTTTACTTCATGTGTGCAACTTTCACCTTTGTATAAATTGCTTTCTTTGTAGAGTTACTTGAGATGTCTTACTTTTAGGTCTGGATTTGTAAAACGATTGAAATAGTAGTAAATTCCTCTATGCAGGTCTGCATTGCGTTTATTCAAACGTCGGGTGCTGTATTCCAATGTGGGCTATGACCGTATCCTTTCTCCATGATCAGTTTTTTATTTTTTATTTTTTAATTTTGCCTGTTCCTGATTTGTGTTAAATTTGATTGTATTTGTTTTTGTTAATGAAATATTGTAAAGATATTGTGGGATGGAGAACATCATCAATAAGAAGGAATAGTGAACTGCCAAAGGTATTATAATCTTTGTGAACATTTTTCATTTGACTTCATGTTTGTAGCACTTTTGGTTAGTAGTTGATGACCAGAACATCTGTCTCGTTATTAGTGGAAGGAGTCTCTAAATGAAATGTATCCACATATCGTGTATGAAGAACACTGCAAGGCCTGTGATGCTGATCAATATGAAACTATTTCAACAGAGTATGATGGCTCATCTGACAAGCTAGAAGGTATACAAACTTACTTTTCTGGCTTGAGAAGGAACTGTACTTTTGCTAAGTTTAGTTATGTTTTTGTTGGTTGTCTTCCGCATTCCAAGTTCACTAGTTTGCTTGCCCAAAGTACATTTTGCATCTCTATTCCGTATTATATTGTTTCTTTGAACCTGGGTCTTAGCCCAAATGGTTCAATCACCTCTCTTAGGGGGTGGATCCCGTCAAGGCTGAGTTTCGATCTCCAACACTTGCAAATGCTCCTTCCCCAATTCCCTTTAGGCTTTGGCCTCCTTTGTACCAAAAAAAAAATTGTGTTTCTCTTTCTTCTGTCTGACTATTTTCAAATTCCTTGCTTTATTCTTATGAATTTAATTGCCATTGCATCTAAATGGTCTTTGTTGTTCTTAATGAATTTCCACCCCCCCCCCCCATATTCCTTTCTTTAGTGTTTCCAAATTGTACAACTCCATTAATTGGGTAATGGTGTGCAGAGGAACTGGTAAGAGGTCTATCTCGAGTTTCATGGGAAAAAATAGATGTTAGTTTTCACACAAGTAGACTGAGATTTGCTGCTCATAGTGTCATACAGGTATCTCTCTCTTTCTCTTTATTTATCTATCCATTTATTTGGCGCTAAAGATGAAAGACTTGTTAATCCAATGATTAAAATTCATAATTGCTTTCCTAATTTATAGCTTAACCATTAGATTAACAAGTTTTCATCTTTACCCATTTTCATCCTTCCTACAAGCAAAGCCTAAGAAAAGTTAATATACCTTGCATGAGATCATTCATGTAGATCCAAAGCAACTTTTTTACTTCTTTTGAAGGAGTAAGTTCCCAGTATGCACATTTTTCAGGTTAAAGATGAAGTTATGCATATAGAAGGTGCAGATGTCATCCAACATATGATCGACCATTTTCTTACTTGAAAGCTTTTGCTTTTAGAAATACACATCATATACGCAGATACAATATTCTCCTAGGTAAGTCAGTGCCTGAAATCCCCATTGGTTGCAGTCGAAAGGATCAATGCTCCGGTTGGTGATCGGCACTTTGATTAATTTAGCAGTCATGAAGAAAATTTTGTTCATTCATTGATCATTTTATGTTGCATACATGTGCACGTTCAGCAATATATCCCAATAATATATAATTGTGTTACTTCTTTTTCTGTTATGTGTTGTAAAGAAATTATTCAGTAATTTACAATTTTCATGGAAGGCTCTACTTTCTAATTTTTTCATGTAACGATGAGCCTTGATAATTTGTGTTTTGCTCATTTATAAAAGAAAATGCCATGGATAGTCATTATAAGTATTTTTTTTGTTTATTTGGCTAGAATTATTCATGCTCAAAATTAAATCTAACAATTTAAAATACACATGATGATACGATATTAAAAAAAATAATAATATGATTTAAAATTTTAATAAAAATAAAAAATATATTTCGTGTTTAATGTATTAATATGAATTGTGATATAATAATTTTAATATTTTACATGTATTTAATACGAAATAAATATAACATATACATATAAATTGGAAATGTATTTAAAATCACTTAAATGGAATTTGACAAAACTCAAAATTATTATATTAAATTAAAATTATTTTGTTAGTCATGCAGGGTTAGCTCTGGTAATTAAAAAAAATCATAGTGCACGGAAGAAAAAAAAAATACTAATAATTAAAAAGAGAGTCCATTACTATTTGTATAAGAACAGATAAAAAAATCCAAGTGTTCTTTTAATTTTTTGCCAAACACAGTCCATATTTTAACTGTCAACGACTTTAACTTACGGCTATTACATTACACATATAAAAGGTCAAAGTCAAAGCCAAGTTAACGAGCTGAGTCCCGTACGACAGCTCCTCCATTTCTTACTTTTTAGTGTCTTGAAAATCTCCCGACGGTTAAAATTCACTACAATTTGTTAGTAAAATCTTGGAAAAATCTTGTGAACATATATTCCATGGATTTATCGATTTCCTCTCCTTTCTCCAAATCTTCCCCTCCTATTCCAACATTCCTCTTCAAACCACGATCTCCAGTTCTCCACTCCTTGAATTTCAAGTCTCGAAACTCCTACCCCAAAACCCCCTTGATTTCCTGCCTAAACCTTCGAATCAGAGCTCAGGTTTTGGATCAGACGGCGGATGACGGCTTTGTCCTCGATGACGTCCCTCACTTGACTAATTTCCTCCCTGATTTGCATGTAATTAATGCATCTTTTAAGCTACTATATATTTTTTTTTTTTTACTTTCCTGATTTTAATAATTAGTTTATGTTGATTATGTTAAGTAGTGTAGAGAAAATGATTCTTATATTGATTAGGAATTTTGGACTCCAATTGTTTGCTTATAATAGAGAAATTGGAAGAGAAAATAGAAAAGAACAAAAATAGTTTTGAAGCTGAAATACAATTGGCTTTGCAGTCCATTCCCTGCTTCTTTGGAGTTTGTAATGAATTCTCCTTATAAAAAAAAAGAATTGAATGATAATTGGATTGCTCTCGAAACAGTGAATTTAAGAACTTGGAAAGTATTTAAATAAGAAAAGTATCAGTATGTAGTGTCATTTCTTTCTAAAAATCGTTCACTTTTTGTAGAGATTTAGGAATGCATTACAAGAGATGATGTCATCTAAAATCTTACCTTGCAATTCTTTTGACTTTACTTGTTTAATTAGTTATCTCTAAATATCATTCTGCTGCCCAAGTTGTTGATATCCCTGCTTTGATTCTTTACTTGGGTTAAGGGTTTTGACAGTGTTCAAGTTCCTCCAATTTCTTGGTTTTATATTTTTTTCCTTTACATAAATTGTATCTTTTTGTTTTTTTCCTTCAGTCGTACCCAAATCCTTTGCAAAATAGCCAAGCATATGCTATTGTCAAGTAAGACCATTTATTTTTGGTGAAATTTTCTTTATATTACCATATAACGTCATTGTGGTCAGTTAGTTTATATTTCATTGTTGTTATACTTTCATCTTCTGTCTTGCCAGGCAAACTTTTGTTGGTCCCGAAGATGTGGTTGCTCAGAAGGTAAGTAACCAAAAAAGAATAAGAACAAAACAAAGAAAAACACAACCCCAAAATTTGACTTAAAAGTTTATCTATTTGATTCTGATCCCACAATGGTAAAATTGTCACTGGGGTAATGGCTTATCTGTTTCCTTTCTTTGGTAATTGCGTTTCTCTTGTTTAGATTGTTGTTCAGAAGGATAGTTCCCGAGGAGTACATTTCCGGCGTGCAGGGCCACGAGAAAAGGTGTATTTTCTTTCAAAGACATCTTCATACTCTTGACATGGGAACATTATCCTATTTAATGCGTTTTTGGTTGTAGGTCTATTTCAAATCAGAGGAAGTGCGTGCTTGCATAGTAACTTGTGGTGGTTTGTGCCCAGGGATCAATACAGTCATTCGGGAGATAGTATGTGGCTTGAACTATATGTATGGTGTCGATGATATACTTGGCATTCAGGTGATTTCATTCGACACTCTATGTTCTTTGCTCAAGTGGTTTCTCTTTTTCTTCGAAGACATCTACTGTTCATATTTCTTACTTCATTCTACAGTATTTATCCTTGGATAAATACTGGCTCCTTGGCAACTGGAAGAACCATTGATTAGTGCATCCGTTTTCGGCGCATGATTTTTTTATTTAAAAATCTTTTTAGGTGGCTCCTTTAAATGATACTCATGAGTAATGGGACTCTGATTGTGAAAAGAGCGTAAAGAAGAGTTCTAGCTTTCTAGATTCCAGAGTAGGCACAGTTTACTTTGAGATAGTTCCTCTTCTTTTTCTACTTGTGTGTCTTGGTTCTCTTAAACTTAGTTTACATTCTTTTCCAATGCTTGTATTAGTTTTAGTTGGTTGAAACTTTGTTTCATCATGATACTGTTGAAACTTCCAGGGAGGATATAGAGGCTTTTACTCTAAAAATACCTTGAAATTAACACCTAAAGTTGTGAATGATATACACAAACGTGGTGGTACCTTTCTTCTCACTTCACGAGGGGGTCATGATACCCAAAAGATTGTTGATAACATCCAGGACAGGGGAATCAATCAGGTAAACAGTTGCTTTCTTGTCCATATAAGCTTCTCTTCACTTGTGGGTAGCTTCTGAAAATCTTCTTCAAAGGAAAAGAAAGAGTAGATAGGCTGATCTCTCTATGGATTTCAGGTTTACATTATTGGAGGAGATGGAACCCAGCGGGGAGCAGCTCGGATTTATGAGGTAATTTATCTTCCAGTTTAAGATTATTCCTATTTCTTAGGTGTATCCATTAGGAACTTTTTGTAATTTTTTTATTTCTTCCTTTCTGCGGTTGCTTATGGGCGTTTTCTTTAAGGAAGTTGAGAAACGTGGTCTTCAAGTAGCAGTTGCTGGCATACCCAAGACAATTGATAATGATATTGCAGTAAGTTCTACCACAATATTATAATATTTGAAAGAGTGAAAATAGGTAGTATTTTGCAGTAGCCATATGATTACCAAATTTATTGACTCTACAAATGTTTAAGAAAATTTCTCTCAAAAAATGTTGGAAAAAAATAAGTGCATTTTCTTGCTGCATTGTCCAGAAAATGGAGTCTCCTTAAAATGCTATTTATACAGTAATGGAGGACCCTCTTCCAAGTTTTGAGATTTACTTGCATGCTCTTTATGATTACATCTTCAAATCTACATATATGTACGGTTTCAGAATAACATGAAGATGCAAGGGGCTTAGGGTGGGTTTGTGCTTCAAAAATGTCCAAGCCACTTTACAACTTTCTTGTAGTAACTGTTGGGTATGGTAAAAAGAAATAAAGTATGTTTTACTTTTAAGTATTTTAACTGTATGTATGCACCTTTCATTTGGGTTTAGATGGTCCTATCTCAATGACTTCTCTATTTTGTAAATACTTCTATTCAAAGAGGGTTGTACTCCTGGGTGAACACAAAGATTTATTTTTGGTATCTGCAGTTTGTAGAATGATTGGAGTGTAAAGCATCTAAAACGTTTAGTCAAGGAGAGGGCCTCCTATTCTAAGTATTGACAGCCAAATTTTATATCTTTCTTCTCTTTCTCTCTATTATATTTTCTATGTTCATTAAAAGCCCTTTTTTTTTTTTACCATGATGGAGTACATTGTTCTGAATGCTCTTATAGAAACATGTTTGTCATATACAATTTTGAAGATGGCAATCTTCTGTTTAGACTGAGGAATTATAATTGTGCCTGATTTTAGGTGATCGATAAATCTTTTGGTTTTGATACTGCTGTTGAAGAAGCTCAGAGGGCCGTTAATGCTGCACATGTGGAGGTAGAAAGTGTGGAAAATGGCATTGGAATTGTCAAACTCATGGGAAGATACAGCGGTTAGTGTTTTGAACCTTATACAAACTACATGGTAAATATTTATTTAGGGGACTTTCAGCATATCTATTTATTATATATTGAGGTAATACATATAATGTGTGTGTGTGTGTGTGTGTGTTGCTGGCATACTTCTTAACTATTAATCATGCAGGTTTCATTGGTATGTTTGCAACACTGGCAAGTCGAGATGTGGTAAGGTCTTGGTCCCATTTTGTATACAACCAACTTCTTAGGATAAATACCTCTTGAATTACTCTGAATTTTAGAAGACTGTATTCTTTCTTGTCTTTTTTGTTATTATTATTTATTTTTCCCCTATTTAAGTCTCCCTTGAATTCATTCAATTAGAGTAAAGAGTAAAGAATAGTATGTTGGTTCAACTTCATCTTTGCTTTACTGATGTCACTGACAATGTCATAATATTTGACATGCAACAGGATTGCTGCTTGATTCCAGAATCTCCATTCTACCTGGAAGGCAAAGGTGGACTCTTTGAGTTTATTGAAGAGCGGCTAAAAGAGAATGGACATATAGTTATTGTTGTTGCTGAAGGGGCTGGGCAGGAATATGTTGCTCAGAGTATGCATGGAATTGATGAGAAAGATGCATCTGGAAACAGGCTTCTCCTTGATGTTGGTCTCTGGTTAACTCAAAATATCAAGGTGGAGTGCATAAATTCTATCAGCTTGTGATTTTTAATTTCAGTACATAATGGTATTATATTCTCAACAATACCTTAAGGAAAAAAAAAAGTTTTTGATTTCACCTTCCCTTAAGCAACCTTTTTCCAAAGGGTTTTTGGACTATGAAAGTAAGTATTGAAGTGGATGATAATTGTAATTAATATTCCTTTTCGTGGATTCTGTGTTTAATTTCATTTTATATAATTATAATATGTTAATGGAAGTTTAGAAATAGAAGCATCCATGGATTAGAAAAATCAGAAAAAGGAAAAAAAAAGGTGTTCTTTCATGCAGTTCTGAACTATATACCATGAGATGAAACAAAAACTTAGTGATTCACGCCAAGAATATTCTAGTATGTTTTATCTAACATTTTTGTTTGGATTGAAAATTTTCTATTGGCTGCCGAATGATTTCTTATTGGGGCAATTTTTCTCGAGATCCAATATTGAAGGGTTTTAGCGCATTAACATGATGTCTTATGGTGATGTGTATAATTCTCAAAATTTGGAGGAAATTGTAATTATACTTTGTTACCAAGGGTCTTTGGTAATTAATCCTTCCTTTTGTTCTTCTTGCCTGTGCCTTTATCATTTCTCCTTAATTGAATACTACTTCATGTAGGATCATTTTACAAAGGAGCGGAAGATGGCAATAAATATGAAATACATCGGTAAGTTCCAACACGGTATCATTTTTGTTCTTACATTTCGCTTTGCCCTCAGGAAAGCAATGACTTTTAGGCCTTAGCTCTACATCTAGTTATATCCCATGAGGATGAGTTATAAAACATCCATAAAATACTTTTGACATCCTTCCCTCCCCCCGCTTGTCCTTGTGACTAGTGCAATATCTTTTGATCAGTCATTTTTATATTAAAGATAATCCTGGCTAAAAGATTTGGGTATTTTGTCATGCTAATTTACCTCAAGAAAATCCCTAGATATGCATAAGCCATATTTTGCAAAATGTTATGTATATGATGGTTGGTGCAGGAATCACTTGATGACGAGCATCTGAGAGTCTCACAATTTCTATTTGATTTAAGATTTGCCAAGAAGGAATTCTGGATGTATAAGCACATCCAGACAACTAATTGATGGGGCATGCACTTGTGCTTCCCTTATGCAATAGAGATGCTTCTGTCTCTTAACTTATGCTTAGTACTTTAAATGATGCCATGTGGTTTAGCAGGTACTATGGCCAAAAAGGAAGGCTAGCTAATGCAGGTTTTAGATGACAAGTTCAGTATTATAGTTCATGAAACCATGAGCTGAATGTTTTACTGCAGGCCTCCTGGATACCTATTTTTCTATCAATGTCATGTACCAAAATTTCAGTATAATAAGTGTTATCATAAAAACAACTAGTTTGAAATCCTCTACCTGAATGAAGACCAAATTTCATGAGACATCTTTGCTTTTCAAGAACCTTTGCTTGAGTTTTGATGTGGAAGTTGGTCGACAAATTTTAATTCTCTTCTATATTAGAACTACTTGTTCTTTTATTTCATGCTATAAAACTAAACTTATTTATTTTTTATCCCCCAGATCCAACATACATGATAAGAGCTATTCCAAGTAATGCATCAGACAACATTTACTGCACTCTTCTTGCTCAAAGTGCCGTGCATGGGGCCATGGCTGGGTATACGGGGTTCACAGTTGGACCTGTGAACAGCAGACACGCCTATATTCCAATTTCTGTAAGCTTCAGAGCCGTCAACGCTTTTAGCTTTATTTTGAAATCTAACAACTTGTGCTTCATACCTAATTGCATTTAATTTTTGAAGTTAAAAAGTTCTCCATGAACTAAGTTATTTGAAATTCAACTAGTTCTTTCTTTACCTATAAGACCTCAGAAAATGGAGACAAACACTTTTGTTGTGGCCTAGTAGCAAATTTACCAAGTTTTGGTACCATATTTGAGTTGATGTCTAACTTTGAATGGCGTGGTATGGTGTTCCTGTTTCAGCATGTTACTGAAACTCAAAACACAGTGAAGTTGACAGATAGGATGTGGGCTAGACTTCTTGCTTCGACGAATCAACCCAGTTTCCTGAACTGTGCGGAATCAATAGGGGGAAAGGTGTGTAAAGACACTATTGACTTGATCAACAACATGAAGATTACTTCTATTTAGATTTGATGGGTGTAAGCTCAGGTGCAAACAAGTCAGTGCTGCTTCTTCTCTTGCTTCTAATAATTTTGGCAAAATCTATTCAACCTCGATACAGAAGAATGGCCATGACAGATTGATCTTAGACGCCCTCTTATTGGGTAGATTTACCGTCTGTCATTTAGCTCATAGCTTGGTCGCTACATATTTGTTCTCAAATTGGATTGTCTCTAGAATTTGCTATCATCATGACACATTGCCAATATATTTGTAAATTATATTGAACGAAAATTGGATTATTGATAAATTTATGTTGGAACAGCAAATGCATCCACATAATATGACAATGATTGTTATACTCATAAGCTTGCTCCAAGAGCATATATCTGGACTCTAATCTCTGTCTGTATAACCCCTAAAAAAATCCAGGTTGTGCCGTTGCGATGCTATGTGGTTGTTGGCTTGTTGCTTGCATGCTTTCCCTGTCGAATTAATTTCTGAAACTAAACTTTTTTGTTCCTTGGTATGTTTTCAGGATGTATATTTGGAAGTTCGAGGAGGATTATTTTCTGTTTTAGATACCGAAGGGAAATAGCCCCAGCTAGATGTGTCAATTGAGTGGGTTAGTCGGGTCACTTTGGCTAATTTTAAGTTATTTTTTATTAAATTTTTGGATCTTTCGAGTCTGAATCCGTTCTAAATTTGGATTTAAATTGTTTCAAGTTTGGGTTGAACACGATAGATTCAAATTGTTAAATTGAGTTGTAACTGTTTGAGTGGTCCTTTAAAAAAAAAAAAATTCGGTTCACCTTTGGCATCTCTGGTCCCTACCCATCTACACTACAGCAAATTGCCAACCTTTAAATTTGAAAATTGAGATCAATTATTAAATGTTCATGAGATCATGTGAACAAGGGTTGGATGACGATCATTATAATAATATCTCTTATATCTTTGCTACAAAGTTTTCCTCCGCAAGTTGCTTTGGGGCATTTGTCTTTCTCTATCATTTACAACCTGTGAATGCACCATCGAATTGGAAATGGAAACGTACGGAACAAGGAGACAAAACTCTGGCAACTAGATTCATTAGGAGGCCCCCTTTGCTGCAGCTTGTTGGCTGAGTTCTATCCTTTTCTGATTGAGAATTGGTTGATGCAAAACGTACCCCTAAGCTGCGGCTGTCAATAGTTTTTTATATACAACGAACTGAGATGGAGAAGATGCGGGCCATGGTCTGATCTCGACATCAAGGTGGTTTTCAATTTCAACCGAATGCTTGGCTTGACTTGGTTTTGTCTTCACCCTGATTTGTCAAAGGCAGTTTTGGGGTTTGAGGTAAGTTTTTTTTCTTTTTGTGAGAATGTTGAGCTTTTGTCAGTAACATCCTTCGAGCAAATAAATGTACATGGAAATCCATTTGTGAAACTGGACATGTTCATGCAGATAATTTGATTAGATAGAACGTTGAAACTTTGGTTTGAAGTCAAAAACCATTTATGAGCCTGATTTCAGTCTTTTGAGTAAGCAAAATATAGCCCATATCTAGACTTCATTCGTTATTCATTTCCTCAGTTGAATATGATTTAAGTTGGAAATGAATTTGCATTGAAATTCCTGCATATCCTGACATCATTTTGTAGTACTAGCATCCATTGATGGTATACTATTCCAACAAAAGAAAACAAATTTCTTCACCCCCCCCCCCCCCCACAACCCTCCCAAAAAAAAAAAAAACAATGAAAGAAAAAACATAACATAAATATCGGTAAAGCAGATAAGTCTAGACTCAAGAACAACATTGTGCCACATTCCTCTCCACAAAATTTTAACTGCAATTTTTTATACAATTTATGTACAAGAAGGTCCTGCTCTTACATCATTCCATGATCCTAAGAACATAAATGTTTCATTTTCTCTTAACTTAGGGTAAACCATTCTTTGTCATGTACGGAAAGTTATTAGGATTGAAACTTTGATTATTGAGATTAAAAATTTAATATTTTATTAATAGATTACATGAATTCTTGATAACTTAATCTAAAACATCTTAGTTATTCATTTTTTTTAACAAAAAATGCAAACATTAGAACTCTAATTTAACATATTTCAATTCAAGTTTTCACTCATAGTAATCACTAATCGAACTCAAAATGAACTTGCAAGGAACCAATAATTAGATACAAAATATAATTAGTGCATTTATCTTCAATGTTATTTGGACATTAGTCATAGGCCTCACATTACGGCTTATCCTTAACTCGCATTATCTATCATGTTTCTAGTATGGTGACAGTTGATTCTAAGCGTGATCAAGCTCATCTTCTTCTTCCTTCACCTCCCAAGCCAGCTCACCACTATCCAGTGACGTGACGTCACTTTCCTGCATCTGAATTCTCTTCTTTCTTCTCCTTTTCCTACCTGTAGTGGCAGGTGGGCTAGCATCTCCGGCTTCTAGTGGAAAATTTAATATTGCTTTGTGACCCCTCATTTTAAATGCTGCACAATCATAAGCCTTGGCAGCGTCAACATCACTATCAAAAGTACCTAACCAGACCCGACTTCCCTTCCTGTTCGGGTCTCGAATCTCTGCAGCAAACTTGCCCCATGGCCTTCTCCGGACCCCTCTGTAATGCCTTCTCTCTTCACAAAGTGACACCTTTGGCTCCAGTTTTGACCCTGAATTGTTGGAACTTGGAGATTCCATATCAAGAACTTCAGGTTTTAAGTCATAGCTGAAGATTTCAGGGATTTGGTAATTTGGGTCGGATACGGGGGAGTCAAGTTCTAGTTTAGGAATTTGGTTTTGGGATTTGATGATGGGTTGTAGTTGAGAGAGACCAAAATCAAGGCTAGTTATAAAAGCATCTGTGGAGGCAAAGTCTCCGAGAAGGTGTTGTCGAATGAACTCAAGTGTTGTTGATTCTTCCAGGGTAGCCATTTTTATTAGAGTCTTCAGGAATTTATGAAAACGGATATGAAGTTGGAAGTGGGAGTGAGTTGGGATATTTATACAGGTAAGAAAATATTGCCAATGGCCCTGGAAATTGACGACCCTTTACTTTACTTTCTACCGTGGGACTCACCTGAAATTTATTGTTGTTTTGGTTTGCCTACAGTGCTTGGACAAAGGATCTTCTGATCTGATCTGATCTTTCTGCACACGGTTTTCACCCCCAAAGTTATGTGCTGGAAATTGGATGATCTTATCCTCTTGACATTAATAAGGCAAAAATGGGGACACCTTAAGGGGAGTTACAAGTTGGTACTAGGCAGAAGTGAAAAAGATTGTCCATGTTTTATCTTTTGTCCTGAGCTGGGACCTCCCAACTTGCGCAAGGCATCCACATAGGTGAGGTGGAGCGGCTGTGGTGAGTATGGGTGCACTCATAAAGGTTTGGATTAATTGGAGGGCTCCACAGGCAACAACTCGTAAAGATTCTTGTCATATGATTTGGCAGCTTCATCATGGATTGTGTAAAATGACCAGATGCGTAGCAATGTGAAGCTGCTCTGCTTCATCCCAAGGAAAAAAGTCGCTCTGCTACTTGCAGAGGACCCTGCCCAAATCATCGTACATGCATGATCTTCTTGCGAGGTTGACATGGATGTTAAATGCTAAATGGCTATAAAAACTATCATATGTTGTTAAGCAAATTCACTTGAAACTGTCACTTAATAACTTAAATTTGAGATTATTTGAATTTGAAATTATCATAATTTAAATTAATTTGAATTTAAAATTATTCGAATCTAAAATTTATGTTAAAATTATTATGCCTTGCTTAACGTTTAAAATGATTTGAAACCAATGCAAACATGAAAGAGAATAAGTCAAAAGTGAATCGATCTAAAAACGATATGAAACTTAATCCACCTATTTGCCCACTTCTTAATTTTATCAAATATTAACATGAACATAAAAAATTCTGAATATCATATTGGCTGAACTCGTGGGATAATGCCCATGATGGTTATCCTACTTGGATAGGGACTATCAAAGATAAAGCTTAACCCTTTTTTGTCTTGATAATTGGACTTATCAAGGTGACTAGATAGTTACAAAACAGATTTTATCAGATTTCATATAATCTGACAAAAAATTGTCATGAATTTGATAAAAGTTGTCAGGACCTTCTTTTTTTTTTTTTTTCTATAAACAAGAGTCATGCAATATTCATGTAAAAACCAGTAGTTTTCCAAATCTTTTTTGGCCAATGCTGCTGCCACAAACACTTTACCATTAGCAGAAACAATGGTAATTGAAGCACTGGCTTAAGGTGAAAAAAGCAATCCAAAGAAAATTTTCAATTGAGTCAGATTAGTTTGCTTCATTTTTTAATTGAAGGCATGGAAAATTATCCAATAAACTGTCAATAAAATTTTTAAAATTTTCATGGGATGCTTAAATGAAAATTATACTACTTTCATCAAGAAAAAAAAAAGGGAAAAAGTTTAAGACCTAATAAATCTTTTTATATCATCATTTTTTTAGTTTATATTAAAGATTTCTCTAATCCTAATGAAATGAGATTGTGTAATTAATTTGTTTGGGATTTGATAAAGCTATATATATATATATATTTTTTTTTTTTCATACAGGATATTAAAATTAAATAGATTTATTTATGGATTAAGTTATTTGTTTGGTCCACAGGTTTAATTTGCCTTTGAATCAAGTTTTGAATAAGAATTCTAGAACCTAAGAATTCTAGAACTTATGGGTTTTAAAATTTAAATCCAATTAGATTTAAATTTTTTTTTATTTATAAATTTTTTTAATTTTAGTTTTAAAATATATTGAAAAATATTAATATTTTTGTACTTTTAATATAGCAATTTATTTATTTTTTTAAAATTAAGATATCTAATACGAGCTAAATTAGGCCAAACCATGCATAGATGATAGATCTTTTGAAAAGCTAATCAAATTTGATCCGACTCTATCCACGATAGGATTAAAATTAAGTAAGCTTACATTTAATTGCATTAATAATCATATATTAGTGAAAAATAAATTAATAATTCCTGATGAGTTGTAGAACTTATCATTGAAATTTGACATAAACTCCTAAACTCTAATTTCTATAAGCATAGAAAAAGGAACTTTTAATGATTTCAAAAGACAATTTCATTAAATAAAAAAAATTAAAGAACAAATACAATTATATAATTCAACAAAAAGGCTTAGGACTGGGCAGGCATTCCCTTTGGATGCGGTACCCTGAATACACTAAAAATAGAAGACGCATTTTGGATAATTCATCCAGCCACGTCAGCAACTTTTCCTAATTTAGTAAACGGCGGCTGGAGCCCGTCAAAGGCATTATCACTTACGTCTTACATTACTGCAAGCCTTGCATACCCAAACGAAGGATGTGGCGATAACGGAGATAACGGAGGGATACTGAATATTCCCTTCATGTCTTCGCTATCCCAAAACCCCGTCCAACTTGACGGCGTTAAACATACCGCCGGCGTTACGTTTTCCATCACCGTCGCCGTCACCTTTTCCTCCGTTAGCTTCTCCTCCTCCTCCTCCTCCTCCTCCTCCTCCCTTTTCACTACCTTACTCTCCTGGCTCTGTTCTTCTTGTTCCTCTTCCTCTCTTCTCCTTTTCCTAGAAAATGAATCCTCGTTTAATTCAGACTCTGAGGAATTTGATTTCCCAGCTTCAAGAGGGAAATTCAGTATGGCTTTACTTCCTCGTAGCTTAAAGGCAGCTCTGTCATAAGCTTTAGCAGCTTCTATGGCGGTTTCAAAGGTTCCAAGCCAAACCCTTGCGCCTTTTCTGTTAGGGTCTCTGATTTCAGCTGCGAATTTGCCCCATGGTCGTCTCCTGACACCCCTGTAGTGCCTTTTCTCGTTAGGGTCCAACGATTCAACCGCAGCCGGCGGCTTGGAGCTTATGTCAACTTTTGCTGGTGGGATTGTGACGTTTATAGAAGGACGACGTTGGCTAAGAGTAGATTGTTTTAGCTGGTTTGGGCTACAGACTTGAGTTGGGTTGAGCTGAGATGGCTTGGATACTTCAGGGAATTGTGGGATTTCAGGGGTGGAGACCCTGGAAGTACAGTGATCAAGATTGGAAACAAAGGTTTCAATGGAAGCAAAGTCAGTAAGTAGGTGCTGCCTGATGAGTTCCAAGGCTGATGTTTCTTCAGAAGATGCCATTTGGGAAAGGCTATAACGTTTCCGAGTTAGAAATTAAAGTGAAAATTGGTGGTTGAAGAGAAATGAGGAAGCTGATTTTGAGTGGAAAGGAGGGAGTGTGGTGGTTAGTATATAAAGGAAAGAAAAATTAGTTGCAGTTGAGGAGGAGATTTCAGACCAGCTTCCAGGATAGCCGCAGGAAACATCCTGGGTCCAAGGCTGAGTAAATTGGACTCTTTTTGTCATTGTTGTTGAAATTTTATATTCCAGGAGGGTCCCACATAGCCATAATAATTTTTACAAACTCTGTTTCCAGGATGCTTCTTCTGCCTGGAACCCTTAAAGAAGTTCTAATAATATAGATTCTGGGCTCTATGATTAGAAATGAAGAATACTATAGCCTAATCGATATAGTAATTTTTTCCTGTTGGGATGTTTTAGCCTCCAAGATTAGTTTAAGTAGAAACGGGCGACGGCAAAGTCTTTGATGATATATATTTAATATAAAATAAATACAATACAAATATATAAATTATGTTTAATTTTTTCATGTGCCATAGATTTCAAAGATTCATATTTTTGAATTTTCGGATATAGATGTATATTTTACTAAGAAATGTTGAAAGTTCAGCTTGGAAATCTTTTTGACTTTGGTGATCATTAGAAAAAAAGAAAAAAAGGAAAAAGAAATTATTAATTACTGGTTTCAATGTATGTAGACTTTTTTAATTAACACGTTTTTCAAATGTAATTAGTTAATAAACCAGTCAACAAGCAACTTGTAGGAGTTTGAGAAGTACCGAAACATTTTGGCTAAGCTAATTTGTTTGTTGTTCAGCTTATTTAATTGTTTTTTCCTTTTTATACAAGGTTTTCCCTCCTTTTATTTTGGATAAATAAATCTTAATTATCCAAAAATAAAAACCATAGCAATGTTCTTAACAGAAAAAATTTTGATGATCATGCTAGTCCACTGAAATATAATTGTACATCACCTTTTCCTTGTTAATCAATCTAAAAATAATTTAATTTGAACATAATTTGGCGATACCAATTTAAGGTTTTCACTGTAAGGGTTTCGTTTTATATATATATATATATATATATATATATATATATATATAGGAGATTGAGAAAGAAGTTGCTATTGGGATTTTTATTTTTTTATATTTAAAATTGTTAAAATTTAAAATCTATTATTTTTCATATATTTTTTGTGAAAAATAAAATTCAAACTCACATATTTTTCACATAGTAGGTAGGTTTGTTTGTTTGTTTTCCCTGTCCCAAAAAATGTGAAAAAAACTATTAGTCTCAAACTCATTTGTCTTCCATGCCGACCATAAATGGAATCGGAGTGGCCCGCTGTATTTCATTTATTCATATTCGTTCATAGAATTTTCAGACTGTGGATTAAGTTAAACAAAATGATTGAGGAAAACCTTGTAAATTAATGCAATTATATGATTTACTTTATGAACAAGCCTTAATTTCTCATTTAGCAATGTTAAAAATAAGGCTTATTATCAAATTAATTAGTAGATTTATTAACTTATTGCTTTTTGTAACGTATAAATTAATTAAAAATGATGATGAATATGAAATTTAATTTAAATAATTCATAAATTTAACTCTCTTAAAAAAAGGAATTCTCGTATAATTATAATTTTCTTTTTGTTAATATTTCCTAGACCTTAATTTTTTACTAAAATAAAATAAAAATAATATTAAATAGATTATAAGGTATCAATTTATACGATGAAGGTACCCACTTCCGTCCCGGAGGTCATGCCTTGTTTAACTGGAACTTTTAATCTTGCGTCTTGACTTTAGAGACTGAATTCAAAATCCATGTGGTTTGAATTGTTGACTAATGGAGGCTTCGAGACAGAAAATTAAGCAAGCCAATTATAATCTACAGGCGATCAAACGAACCTGCTTTGCATTTCTATCATCTCGTTCTAAAAATCCTGATGGTAGAGCACAGCAATCCATACACGGTGGGCGCCATGGATTTTCCACCCAAAGCAAATCAAACGTACGTGATCACCAGGGTTTAACCTTTTTTATATTTAAATCAATTTCGTGAAGCTATTTACTAGAAGATTAAATAAAAATTAAAAACTAAAATTAAAATTGATAAATTAAAAAATTTTGTTATATAAATTAAGTATATAAAATTTTTAAAATTTTTAATAAATTTTGATATATACTTTTAAAAAGATATTTTTAATAAAAATGATAACATAATTTTTATTATTAAATAAGTACGATTAAATTTAAACTATAAATAATATTTTTAACAATTTTTTTATATATTATTAATTTTTACATTAAATTTATTAATTTATCGGTTTAGATTTTTTATTAAATTTTTTTTAAAAAAAATTTCATAAATTTTATATAAGTTTTGTCCAACTATCACTTGATTTTTTTTTTCTTTTAATTTCAAGATGATCACTTGAAAGAAACAAACAAACAAAGATTGACAACGGTGGAACCGGGCCGACATTGCTTGCGAGATTTCTCCAAACTTGGATATATATATATATATATATATATATTATTATATTATCTCAATTAATGAAAGCAAAATATATGTGTACATAACAGTATGAACTTAATAATTTTTTCTATATCAACAAGTACCTAATGATTTAATTTCGTTAGTGCGACGCGTAATTAATCAAATATGTTCTTTAAAGAAAAAAAATAGTTTTATTTCTTTTAGGTTTTTTTTACTATTATCCATCTTATTTTTCAGGCTAACTCTTTAAGTGAGAGCTATATTTTGTATACATTTATTACTTTTATTACATCAGATATTAAAAAAAATTATATTTTGATTGCTGAAAATAAAAATTTTAACATTTTATTAATAAATTATCATACAATTATTGGCTTATATACATTCATCATTGGATCAAATATATAAACATATATATATATATATATTATTTGTGTGTCGATTATTTTTTAAATCTTTTTATTTTTCTAATAATCTATTTATGTAAAAAAAAATTGTAAACAATAAAGATGGTAAATTTTGAACAATATTACTAAAATTTTGAATTTTCACCAGGTTTGTGATTATATTATAATTATAATACTGTATAATTTGTGAAAAAAATAAATATTTAATTGTCGTGCAGTAGCTTGACAAAAAACAATTTGCGGTGAGCAGTGGCATACTAATCAAAGCCATGACTCGTAAGGGTCGTCGAAGGTACGCAAGACAAAGCCGTGGCGGTGGCCGTGGCCGAGACCGAGAGCGCACGCCAACTATTAAACAAGCTTGTTGGCGACCTAAATCATTGACCAAAGCATGTGTTTGTATTCAATCTCAACTCAAGTTTCAACTTTCGACAGTAATATTTTTTTTTTATTCCTTTTCATGCCTTAAATCTTTTAATTGTGTTTTTATTATTTGAGTTTTGTTATTAATCTTTTAATTTTGTTTTTATTATTTGAGTTTTGTTATTATTATGTCTGTTGAAACCATTTTATTTATTTTTTTCTTTCTGTCAGCTTTTCTGTCGACCGTCAGCAGTCGCACTACCAGTAGCTTGTAAGTCACCTCAGCCCTGACAGTCACCAGTAGCCGTTTTGACAACCAATGGCCACCCTAATATTGTTTTCTTTTTGCTCTATAAATAGAGTAATGAAACTGATGGAAAAGAAGGTAGAGAAGCCCAGAGACCCTGCAAAAAAAATAACAAAAAAATAGATAAAAAAAAACACTACCAGGTTTAAAAAAGAAGAAGCTTCATGCAAAAAAAATCAAGCACCAAAACACAAGCAAAATCATAATCCCTGGAACGGGAACTACAACGCCAATTTATAAAAAAAAAAAAAAAGTCACTTTTATCAAATCTTTCAGGCTAGATTTACGTGGTTCAAGGCCCTCTTTTATGAAACTAAGCTCGAATTCGTGTTTAGGGGGTGAAGAGAAGATTTTGGGAGATTTTAAATTTTTTTGACGATTAATAGACGGCGGCCAGCGACCACTGACGACGGTCGATGAGGCAGAGCAGTCACCAAATTCTGAGTTTTAGAGAGAGAAAGGGAGCCTCTAAGAGGAAGAGAGAGAAAAAAGAAAAAAACTGAAAAAAAAGACTGGTTTGACCTTTAAATAGGCCTTCAAAACGACGTCGTTTAGGCAAGAAGCAAACGACGTCGTTTTAAAACCAGAAGATTTACGCGTCGACCCGAGATCCAACTCGAAGTCCGCGCGTCCAACTCGAATACCCGTATTTCCTTTAACCCCTAATCGGTCTAGTCGAATCGGCTCAGACCGGACCTAACCGACGTCGAACCACTAAACAGACTAGATCAACCCAGACCAAACCGTTGACCGATCCAGTTCAGGTAAAAAAACTTTTTTTTAATTTTTTTTATTTTAAATTTTATTATTAATATTTATGCATATAAAAATATTTAAATTTACCAAAATAATTTTTTATTATTTTATAATAATTAATAATAATAAGTAATAAAATTTATAATAAAAGTTTTTTATAAGTATAATTAAATAAAATAAAACAAAATTAATAAAAAATAAGAAAAAAGAAATTTTTGTTCGACGATGAGATTTAAAGGTACTCGAAATAGTGATACCTACGAAATATCTAGGTGATAAAATTTTTTTTAAATACTACCAATGTATTGGAGTATTTATAAAAAGTTTTTAATACAATAAAATTTTTTTCTTCAATAAAATAATAAAAATTAATTAATAAATTAAGAATAAGTAATAAAAATGAGAAAAAAGAAAGTTTTATCCGATGATAGGATTCTAAAAGTATTTCGAGTAGAGATACTTTAAGAAATCCTTAGGTGAGAAGATTTTTTTAAAAATATTATCAGTGTATTAAAATATTTATAGAAAATCTTCAATACAATAAAAATTCAATTTTCTTTAAAGTTTTAAATGAAAAGATTAATAAAAAAATTAATAAAATTTTCTAAAAAAAAAAAAAATGTGTGTATCAATATGGTAACATTATGTATTGCATGTATGAATAGTTTTTAACGAAAAGTAAATTTGAGCCCCCAATGATAAGATTCTAGGGTATTCCGAAAAATTATGCCTAAGAAATCTCTAAGTGAAAAAAGGTTCTTCTAATGTTACCAATGTACTAAAATATTTTAAGAATTATTTTAATAAAAAGGGTTCTAATTTATTTTTCTAGAATA